GTGTAAATCACTGTCTGTTATTTTATTGCATCTATAGTAATGGTTTATCGGCAGAATTTGGAAGAATTAGCATCTTCATTCTGCTTTGTCAGCATTAGTTCTTCAGAATTCAGAACTGATTTCTATCATGTTCATTTTTCATTTACCTTTTATTGTAGTACATATAACTTATGTTATTGTGTCTATAGTGTCCAAGATAATTTCCTACATAGAAATTCGGATGGAGGAAGTTATCAGTCTCCCTTCATGTGTAATTGTTCTGGTCTAACTTTTTTGAGTCTTATTATTTTGTTTAAAGGAAAGTTAACTTCCTTGCATCTCAGTGTTCATATTTCACTCTCTTGCAAATATGGTTGTTGGAAAAATAGAATCTCATATGTCAGCATTAATGTAGAAGTTATGTACATCTACATTTATTGCTGATGTAGTTGTATTTTGAGGTCCATATGTTATTGATGTCTGTCCTTTGATGCAGATGCTCTCATCCAAGGATATAAATTTTGTGGGCTACACATATAAGAACTTTGAAATTGTAAATGATCATCAATTACCTGGAATTGGTAGTTGATTCTTCTATTTTTATGTACAATGTATTAACTATTCTTAATGTTCTTATTTTTAACTTGTATTGTTTCTCCAAATACTTAATGCTGGTGTTGTTCCCATTTTGTGCATAGCTCTTGTAATCAGGGTGGGGAAAGGGATAGCTACTGATTAAGTTCTGTCATGTATTGTCCTGTCACTTTTACATAAAAGTTCTACCCACAATTGCCATAGCTCTCATTTTCTTACTGTCCTCATTCAATTTTATTTAAAGCCATAACTCTAGAGGGAGGTTGAGGGCAATAATTTGTATTGGCCAAAACTGGGAATATTTGTATAGATTTTGAAATATGAATATGTTGTTCCTTAATAGGGATCTGAAATCGATACATGTATATCATAAATAAATGTTGAAAATTTTCTTGAGTCATTTAAATGATAATGGTCTAGTCTAGGCTAGATTGGTTATCTTATTAATTTGATGATTAAAATTATGTTTTATATATCTTTTATTCTAACATCTGTATTTTATAATGCAATTAGAGGTTTATCTTCTGTCCAATGTCTCATCTTGGTTATGATCTTTAATTAACCATTTTTCGTGTTCTCTCACAGCTGAATTGAAGAAGAAGAACAATAAACCTAAGAGGCCCTCCATCAAGTCCCTTTTTGTGGGAGTCTACCTCTTTATTTCCTTTTGAACTACTAGTTGTCATATTTTTAGTTGTAAATACTTGTTGAGTTTATGTTAAAATTTTAATATGTTGATGTCTTGGGATTGTGCGACTGCAGAAAGGAAATGGGATAAAACTGAGAATGATATCATGATATAGACTTACTCGGGTGTATTCCCTCTTCATTTATCAATTTGATTTATATTTTACAGAAGAGAGTCGGCTACAGTAAATCAGCCTTTCATGGGAGCTTTTTAAACCTTTTGCCTACACAAATAGAAGCTCCAGAGAAGGAGGGTAAATCTCACTGAGCTTCAGTGTCATGTTCCTCACATAAGATGGCTGTAAAAGCCCAAGAAAAGAGAGGATTATGTTCTATGGTGAATAGCTTTTGTTTCGCCGCTCCCTGCATTTCATGTTTTTAAGAGGGAAGTTTCCAGGGGCAAAGGCCCCAAAAACGAGTGGGTTTGAGGTACTAATTGCTTTTGGGTAAGAAAGATGGAATGTGATCTTTGTAAAATAGTAAATATTCTTGATATTTGTTATGTATTTTTTCATTATTCTGTCAAGCTGCATGAAATTTGTGTACCATCTGCTGTATAGGTGTACAATTTCATTCATGTATTAAAAATGAAAAAGAAGAGTTAAATCTCTCCCACTCTTTTTATTTACTTCAAGGGCTAGATTTTGTTGGAATTTTTTGTTAGTTTTGTCAACTACAAGTCTATAACAATTATTATTTTTATTTTTTCCAGTATATAGTTGAGAATGATTTTTTTTTTTTCAGTCTTAATTCCGTAAGACTTTCAACAGTCACAAACTATACTTACAATTAATATCGAAGCTCAGTTCCAAAATTGCCAAAGTTGTCGAAATTACCTGCTTAAGCTAACACAAAAATCACTGTATTAAAAGCCGAACCGGATTGGCCGGTCCAGTTGGACCGTGAATCGGTTATATGTCTAGTTCGAGTCATATAAAAATTGGTATTGCACAATAACCTGTTTTAACCGTCAATGGACCGTGTGAACAGTGTTGGACCGCAAGAAAAACCGGCCCAACACTGAAAAGGGAAAAAAAGTCCCTAATTTCTCACTTTCTCCCATTGCGCAGTTTCTTCTTCCTCAGTTCCTCTACGCACAAAATACTTTGAAAAAATTTGAATGAAATCGTGAAAATCTGAAATCCCACACAAATCAAAACTCAATCTTGCTGAAATCGCAACCATTCGTTTGTTGAAATCGATCGTAACTCCAGTCTTTGAAATCGTGAAGACGTGTTCGTTCCTCCTCGCCAGAAATCGACGCATGAAGGCTGATTGGCATGCATGTCTTGACAATCCAATTTGATTCAAGGTGAGTTGCAACAATAAATTTAGTGGACTCGAGAGGCTCGTATCAATACAACATGCTTCGTGGTGTCGATTTTGATGGACCTTTGCTAGAATCAGTTAAAGCCGCATACGCGTCCTTCCGAGGTTCAGATGATGCTTCAAGCAGACCCTACGGAGAAATGGATTCTCCCAATAAAATTACAGAGGTGCACAACCAACAGGATCCCCTAGTTTTTCATGGCAAAGGCGCAGATAAAATTTAGTGTGTAAATTGTAAACCAACAATTTTTGTCAACATGATTTTCCCAATCCCGTGTGTATCCTGAAGTGTTGTATTTTAATTGTTCATACATTTTATTGAATGAAATCATTATTCTTTCTATTGTAAATCCCACCTTACTGTATATTTGATTTGGAATGTTGTGCCTGCCATATTTTGGTTATATTCACTGACATTGATTCAGAAATTTCATCATCAAATTATAATTTGATTACCTTTATGTTCAGTGGCTTCTGGTCTGGGAGTTATATATTATTATGTATTTTTGTCATTTAATATGTAAATACAACATCATGTTTGGATTTAGATTTTGGATTGTTGTTAAACACTTAAATTATTTGGGATTGTTGTTTAGTTTGAACTTTAATCATGTTGGATAGTAATTAAGTTGTTATTGTCTTAGTAAAAAATAGAAATCTAAAAAAAAAAAAAAAAGGTTTTTTTAAAAATGTGTTGACGTCATCATGATGTGTGATGACATCACCGGTCCAACCGGTTGGATCGGTTGAACCGTGACCCGGGCAGCAAAGCGGGTTGCCCTCCGGTCTGACTTTTAAAACAATGACAAAAATTTGAACTTTCAGACCAGAGCCATCAAGTGTCTACATCTTTCATATTCAACCATCACGGCTTTGGAGATTGAGCAAAAAATTATCTGTAGTTGAGATCAATGGTTTAATAACCAACCTGGGGTGAAACCCGGCAAAGTTATCAGGTCCTGGTTGACATGTTTAACCGGTTTGACCAACGAGTTGGTCAAATTGGTGACAAAAATTTTAAAATTCAGCAAATACATTCCTAAAAATTATAGTTAAATATCTAGAGGTTTGAAATTTAGCACACACTCCAAATACAAATTGGTGGTTGACTGGTTGGTGGCGACGACACTTTAAATGCAATCTCAATCATCCATGGTTCGATTACAATCAAATCTCACATACGTCAGTGTCGACAACTCTCCCATCATCTCGAAAATGCTTTCCTCTACCTCTCACCAAAACCCACCTCACCCTACCCTCGTTAGCCTTGCCAATTGCTAGCAAAAGTCGGCTGTTGCCGTCGCTTTTTTCGATTTTCGGTCGATTTACTCATTAGAAATCAACTTCGTCGCCATTATTGCACTCACTGACACTTTCTTTTCAAAAGCCCCAACATCTCGGCCTTCAATTGTTCGAGTCTATGTTGAATCAACTGGGTCGGGTCGGTTTTAAATCAGTGGTTGAGATAACATGATCTTAAGAGCTCGCTAAGATTTGTAATTTCCTACAAATTAATATAATGCTGATGATGCATCTCACGAAAATTGAAGGCTTGTTGCTTATAATTATGCTTCATTTGTCCTTAAAGTAGTACCACTGGATATATTCAAGGATAGGCAGTCATTAAACTGGCATCATCGGATAAATCATTCATAGATTTATTTTACTAGTATCATCGATAAATCATCTATTGGTGATGTAGACAGTATTATTGATGTTGCTAAAGACATGATTATTTGACTAGTTATTTAATTTTTATTTAAAAAGTTATTATTAATATGTTTTAAAAAATTAAGAAAAAATTATTAATTATTTAATATTTTATCCTACGAAGTTTATTCTTCTAAAGTGAAAGTAATTTTTAAAATTTAATTAATTCAGAAACTTGACTCTAGTATTATTAATTATTAATATGCTGAATTTAGGTCGAGAATTTCCCTGCGCCTTTTTTATTGGCGAGGTCGGTCACTCGGGTAATTCGTGACATGAGTCAACATGCTAAAACGAGTTGGACTCCTATCTATCTCCGTTACCAAACATCATCTAATTGGAATTTTTATCATTTATTTGACATCTAATTACCTTGTCGACCGATTAAACCCTCTTTCTTCTCCTCGTTATTTTCCGATACAACAAAGATGCAGGTAATCTTCCATTTACGAATCTGTTGTTTCAAAGTTTCTTTTCAAAAAACACTGAACATTGAGAAGCTTTCTTGTTTATAATTGTGCAGGCCAGTGATAGGTTTAAATAACTCCCAGCTCGAGCATCTGCAGGCCAAATACGTTGGCACTGGCCACGCTGATTTGAACAGATTGTGAGCTTCTTTCCATTCTTTCTAACTCTATGTGTATATTTTAGGGCTTTTTTTTTTTTTTTGGTGATCGGTTTTGTTTTGAATTGTGTAGTGAATGGGCGGTGAATACCAGCGTGATAGCTATGCGTCTTATGTTGGGCATACCCCATTTGCTTACTTTGCCATTGCGGAGAATGAATCCATTGGAAGAGAACGCTACAACTTTATGCAGGTTTTATTTCTTTCTTAATTTATTCATTGATTCTTTGTTCTTTGTTGGGTTTTGTGAGAATTTATTTATGCATGGTTTAAATTTAGGTTTATGTTTGAACATGTAGTTTGAGACATTATATGGGTGTTGTGGTTGGACATCTTGTGCACAGTGCAGGTTACCTAGAACTCTCAAATGATTATCAAGGAGCAAAACTGTTCATCTGGTTATGTGAAGATAGATACATTTATGGGTGTTGTGGTTGCATGATTTTTTTCCCCTTCAAATATCCTTCTTCTCCGCATGATAGAGTCATCTCAAGCTTACTTCCCTTTTTTCAAATCGGAGAATATTATTCCGAGGTTCATGGAGGTGGTTGACATCTCTGCATGCTTATGAAGTCATGCTTTTTTATTGGTATTTAATGTATTGATGCCATTGACCATAGAAATGTGTTTTCTTTATACACTAACATGAAACCATCAACAAGAAAAATGAAACAAACGATGGGAAATGACCTAGATGTTTTGTTGGTGAGGACCAATTTGCATCATTAAGAAGAAGCTGCATGGTTCTGGTTATTTTATTGGAATTTATGTAGTTCAAGTTGAGGTGCTGTAAAAATAAAAGTAGAACCAAAGAGCAAAAGACTATTGAATATTAACAAATGTTGGGGTGAGGTATGAGTTGACAGCCTTCGCCTTCTATAAAGCACAGCGGTGGTTAAGATGAGTTGATTTAGTTGCAACATATGGCTAGAATATGAGTTTTTTGTTTGAATTAAGTCTCTTTAAATTGGCACTTATAAGTACACCATTTAGTTGCAACTCTTGGCTTAACTCAATTTAATAAATTCTTAATTCCAATTATTTGAGTTGGCTAATTGAATTTCTTTTCTTATTCCGTCATGTAAGGCCATATTCTGTTAAGGATAACAACTCATCATATTTTTATTGTCATTCCATACTTCTTGGAATGTCTTGTCTTCGACTTGCATTATGATTTTGTTGCTTATTGATTACTTTTGTGCTCATTGGCTGTAGTTACAATATGTTTTAACTTGTGTTAAAATTTTTTTACAACCTAATGGAGTTAATAATCTAAGTTCATTTACATTGATTAGGAAACTATCTTCTTGACATGTTAATTCGCTTCTTAGTTGATAGTTAGAGGCTATAGATTATTTCTTAGGGAGTGAGTGAGAGTTGAGTTTTGCTTTTGATTGGGAGGACAAACAATATAATTCCTGGAAGAAAGGCAACAATTTATGTTGCCATATCAGGTCTCCAACAATTGTTCATAATGTTCTGTGTCTAATTCAAGCTCAAGGTGGTAAGAAAATTTGCCAGGTTCATTACGCCCAAAGTGTCAAATACTTTCTCCTGCCTATTCTTAAAATTGACACCGTAAAGGTCTCAATTTTGGAAATTTCTCATTAAGGTTTGATGGTGTTCAATGCAACTTCCACTGTAGTTGAGGGCTCGGTCTTTAGAATGTTGTAAGTTAAAGACAATCAATAATTCTATCAATAATAAATTAAGCCAATGACAGAAATCAATCATGATTATCAATATCCCAAAAGATCAACTATGGATCATAGAATACTGAATTAAGAGTATAAAATCTAAGACAGACCGGACAAATACATAGTTCAATGAGATATTCTAATGGGCTTATGTGATTATTCCAGAATTTGTCCAATACACTTCATTTTGAATAAATTGGGTTGACGACTAGTGTGGCTTAGGCTATAATGAGTTTCAGGGTTTATTAGACCTTTAATGGGCAGGTCCAATAGGCTAATATATAAATTGGTTAAGTCCCATTTCCAACGCAATTTGAACAACTTAACCCATTTGTTAGTCGTCATTAAGCGTGCGTTATTGGAAAGGAAGACCTACACTTTTTGTGACATGAAAAACTGTCGTATCTCTATAAGGAATCCAAGAAATCAGAAACTATAATAAATCAGGTTTGTCTTAGCCTTATACTCTTAATTTAGTATTCTATAATTCATATGTTGATCTTTGGATATGTGGAATCATGATTAATTTCTATCATTGGTTTGATTTATTATTGATAGATTTTGTAAGTTAAAAACAATCAATATTCTATCAATATAAATCAAATCAAATGACAATCAATCATGATTACCAATATTGAAAAATCAACATATGGATTGTAGAATACTGAATTAAGAGTATAGAGGCTAAGTCAAACCTGATTTATTTATGGTTTCTAATTCTTGGATTCCTTATGGAAGATGCAGCAGTTTTCATATGTCAGAAAGTGTAGGTCTTCCTTTCTAATAATGCATGCTAATGACAACTAACAAATGGGTTAAATTGTTCAAATTGCGTTTGAAAAGGGGACCTAGCCAATTTATATATTAGTGTATTAGGCCGGCCTATTAGGCCTAATAAACTCTGAAACCCATTACAGTCTCAAGCCCACACTAGTCGTCAACCAGATTATTCAAAATGAAGTGTATTGGACAAATTCTGGAATAATCACATAAGCCCATTAGGATATCTCATTGAACACATAAAAATTGAGAGGGCTAAGCACATGATTAGTGAAGGAGGGGGGTATTTATAGCAATCACCCCTCTCCCTCATTTAAACTCCCCACCGTCTCAAATTTCAAGGCGGTGGATGTCCACTTTTTACAATGTTCGCTTTGGACATTCACTAAGGCCTTACTGACATCAACATTTCAAAAGTTAGTGTATGACAATGGCATGCTGTGGCTAATAAGTTACTAAATGATTTTACCATTATGAGAAGGTGCATCGATTAGGGGGAGTTTTTAGAAAGGTTTATTGTACTGGGCATATGTCACTGTACTCTTTTTCTTTGACCAGGTTTTGTCCTATGGGGAGAAGGTTTTTAATGAGGCAGTATGAAACACATTTGACTTCACTTTACAGTTTCATTATAGAGTTGTATTTTTTATTTAGGTTTTTGTCCCAGCGGTTTTTCTTAATAAGGTTAAGTACAATTATTTGTAAATAACAGATATCCAAGGGGAGTGTTGTAAAACAGTGGACATCTACCGCTTGAAATTTGAGGACCGTGGAAGGAGTGTAAATGGGGAGAGAGGTGATGGCCATAAATACCCCCTTCCTTTCACTCTATAACACACACAAAATTTGAGAGGTCTAAGCAATATCAATTGAGTATCATATATCTCAATTATCTCACTTCTGATTCTTGTTATTTACTTTGTTTACTTATCTTTTTCTTGAGTTAGTTATTAAATAGCACTACTAAAATTACAACAACTCTCAAGCACATGAGCCCTTACAACCTAAACCTAATTGCAGAAGTTGATCTGAAAACCATTTAACGGAGTGTGTGCATGCAATTACTCACGCGCAAGGGGTGCATATCCACTTATTGTACGTTGGGGCTTGGCCCTTGTTTGGCTCACTATCATTTTTTTTGGACCAAAAATTAAGTCATTGAATTTTTTTTAAAATTAAATTTCAAGACCAAGCGATAAATGTGCATGAGCGAGTTTGAGTTCAGATAACTTGTGATTAATTCACATATGGTTAAAATTCTGAATGTTGTTGAGCGAATTTTGTCGGAAGCAATTTTCCCATTGCCTATAAATTTAGTAGAGATGGGTGACAATTTTTTGTTGAGAAAAATGGAAAATGCACATATGCTCGAACCCTTTACCCTTTGTTGAATATTAATTAACTAGATTATGTAGAACTGCTCTAGTTTCCCTTCTTTGTTTATTTTCTTAAACCAGAGATAAAATTATATTACTTTGTTTGTTGTTCTTCATTCCGTTTGAGAGTGCACTCAACCAGAAAATATCGTTCAGCTAGAGGTCAAACTACCGTCAATATTGCACCAATGTCATTCCTATAGGGGCAGAATCAGTCTTAAGGCCAATGCGTCCCTATATGTCTTAGCATTTTTACATTTACTGTTCCTGTGCTTTCAATACCATTTTTTTTGTTTCTAATTCATTCTCTTCATTATACACAAAGCAAGGTTGGTTGGAGTCTTACAATTGCACAATGTTTCCACTTTTAACTAATTCGGTCTCTTGCAGAGTTTTAGTTTATTACTAATTTGTCTCTTTTATTTAGTTTCCTATTTTGGTTCAAAATTTATTGTAAAGGTTGGTTTGGCATCGATATTTTGGGCTTATTAATTAATCTTTCCTATTTTATTGGAGTAACTTCATCTATGGTGCCACTTATATTGTTTAGTTGATTGGAATTTGTATTTGTGATCCAAGGAATTTTGGGAAAGTTAAGCTTCAATGTCTCAAATCAGCTAGAACGAAACTAGGACTAATTCTGCGATGTCTATAGGGCGCGTCTTTTGATTTGGCATGTCCTTGTGTGAAATTTTTGGTGGAAATTTAAATTTGGAACCTGAATTATGGACTTTTACTATTTCAATTGTATCCACGAGGGACTTAAGACATAAATCTGCTAAGTTTATGCTGTGGAGACAAGGTATGCGCAACTAACAATGTCTGTCATTCTTTTATGCATTCTGTTTTTGCTCTTCAAGTGGTTGCTTGGAGAGTGAGAAATTGGCATCTGAGTTCTTTGGTTGACTATGATCTTTGTAGGTGAAAAGTTAGATTTAGCCATATGTATATTTAAAATATTTGGCATATATATGGAATCACCTTAATTGAAAAGTAGTATTATTTGAACACAAGTTATAATGATCTTAATTATTGTTTCCTAGCAGAGGAAAAAATAGCTTTAATAACGAGAAACCAAAAAACAAGCAAGATATTAAATTCTCCTGAAAGGATGAACAAATATTAAAAACATAAGGGAGAAAGACGTCTGAGGTTCTAACTCTGTATGCCCTTTGTTTCATTATTTTCTTTTTGTACATTATTTTCAAAAGAAAATTCAAACATGTATGTTATACAAACTTAAATTGGTATGGACAGTTCCTAATTCAACTAGATAATTAAGCTAGTGAAAAATTCTACTTAGCTAAATCTCTTATGTACCATTTGTAAAATAGCAATTTCTCTTCGTAATCATTTTTTTTTTCCCAATAGGACTTGATGACATAATCTTCTACATGTTTAGAGATTCCTTTACTTGATTTCCTTATAGAAAACTTTGAAAGGTTATTACCAAATTTTGAGTCCCATACTTTTCTCTCTAAGCAACATCTGTTATGAAGTTTGAGGTTGTTAAAATGTTATAACAGAAGATTCTGAGAAGGCAGACTTCTCCCAGTCAAAGTTTATGGGTTACTGGTGTCTGCTGTGCTACATACACACGATTTAAAATATTATAGAATATCATTTGAGCCAAAGAATTTAGGTTAGAAGACAGTTCTATTGTTCATTTAGATAGTAATTTTTTTTTTTGGTGAAAAAAAAGCAGGTTAGTGTGTGATTAGTTAAAGTGGTTGTGGAAGTGATTGATTCAGTTCATTGAGTATTCAGTAGTTTGCAGGTAAATATACACTCGGTTGTTGAGCAAAGATCATGAAAGTTTTCTCAAAAGTCATAATACTTGAATAGAACACTTATGCAATCATGCATGTGTGCATGTTTACTTCAAAGTTACATAAATATAGATTTATTAAAATCTTAATCTATTTGACTTTTGTTATTCTTCTAGACCTCCCTTCGGACCTGCACGTTATGGTGTTAGACTAGTTGAATATATGACCAGGATAGTGGCTGTTGCACAAGATTGATTATATAATTTTATTTTTCGCATGTGCTCACTTAATGTCTATTAGATGTTACGTTTTAGTGGTCAATGTTTTTGGCAATAAGTTAGTGCTCTTTTGTCGGTATATTAATTTTTGCCGACACGACTAATACTTTGCGTTGAATTTATCTTTCCCCAAAACCATAATAGGAAAAGCATAAGTTAACTTCTCACAAAAACTTCTGTAACATGAAAAGTTGCACAAATATTTTTCTTATTTAGTAATTTGGAAATGAAATACTGAAATTTCCTTTGGAGGTTGTATCAGCAATTTGATTCTTGAATTATATTAAACTTCAAGTGTCTTATATATAACTTACTGCAGACGTGATATACTGGAAAAGAAGTTGGCCGATGCCGAAGTCTCTGAGGAAGAACAGAACAACTTATTGAAGTATTTGGAGAAGAAGGAAACAGAATACATGCGCCTTCAGAGGCATAAGATGGGTGCTGATGATTTTGAGCCGTTGACAATGATCGGGAAAGGTGCATTTGGAGAGGTAGTATCTCTTTTGTTTCAAATTATATGACATAAGTGATAGTTGTGTGTATATATTGTGTAATTTGCTTGGTCAAATGTGTCCACTGGGCTGTTCCTTTGCTAATGAAGTTTCAGCTAGTCAAATTTGAAGTTACCGATAAAAATTCTTTTTCTATAACTTTTATAACATCTTGTCATACATCTCTCTTTCGCCCTACGTCTCTCAAGGGGATGGGAAAAGGGTGGCTGCTCAGAAAGCTAACAAGTCTCTGGATGTATTGGAATTCTTTGAATTGCTTTATAGTCTGCTTCAGTTTATTTTGTGTGTACATATATTAGGAGACATTCTGGAACTAAGCTTTGATTCATATTTTTTCTTTTTGAGTTGCATGGTGTCACAAACACAAATGCTTCTCTATGTGCATGCCTGCTTGTTTTTGAATTCAGGACACATTCCTAATTAACTGATTGATGCTCTATGGTTTTACCTTTTTAACGATAATCATATATCTAATTATATAAACTGCATCTGCTGCATCATTTGCTGAACTTGCAGTAATGTACTTATTGATAACAGGCAAAGAATAATTTATGGAACTGCTTTTTAATTTTTTTTTTTTTTTTGCTGAAGACAATTCAATTAAGCATTTATCAGGAAGATGGGGCTATGGATGAATAGAGTGTGCGTTGCATGGGCTTTCTAGTTAGTGATGCATTTGAACATATTTTTCCATATAAACAACCTTGTTTCTGTTTGTTTGGTTTCAAATTTTGCACTGCTGATTTCTGGTGATGCCTTTACAAACAAGTTAATGGAGTTTTTATTTTTTAAATCACTTATTGTTTTGTGATTACAGGTTAGAGTCTGCAGGGAGAAGGCAACTGGTCATGTCTACGCTATGAAGAAACTTAAGAAATCAGAAATGCTTCGTAGAGGACAGGTCTGTATTCTATTAAGCATGTCAAATAATCTTTTTAGAATCCGTTTTTATTAACATCTGCTACTTTGCATTTGCATTGTTCAGGTTGAACATGTGAAAGCTGAAAGGAATCTACTTGCAGAAGTTGATAGCAATTGCATTGTCAAACTATATTGTTCATTTCAAGATGATGAGTACTTGTATCTAATCATGGAATATCTGCCTGGAGGAGATATGATGACTTTATTAATGCGCAAAGATACACTAACAGAAGATGAGGCTAGGTTTTATGTGGGGGAAACTGTCCTTGCTATAGAGTCTATCCATAAACATAGCTACATTCATAGGTGACTTTATGTTTTTGACTCATTAATATGCTTCATGGTCCTCTTATATTATTCTATACTGACTAACCGTTCTGGCATTTATATGTTACAGAGATATCAAGCCTGATAACTTGCTGCTTGATAGAAATGGTCACATGAAACTATCAGATTTTGGACTATGTAAACCATTAGACTGCAGTAATCTTCAGGAAAAGGACTTTTCTGTGGGAAACAACCTCAGCGGAGCTCTTCAGAGTGATGGACGTCCAGTGGCTCCAAGACGAACACAACAAGAACAACTGCAGCATTGGCAGAGGAACAGGAGGATGCTTGTAAGTTACCTACACTAATGTGCTTGATATGGTTCATATATTACAGTAATGTCCCTAATCACCTAGCCAGAACAGTCTTTTTTTTTTTTTTTTTCTATTTTCAGTCTCTCGGGGTTTGTGATTTCATTGTAGTTGTCACTGAGATACTGTCAGAGCCATTTGTTTTGAAATTTACATTTTGAAGGCTTTTGATGCTCTGGGATTTGATTTTAGAGAGGACCCAAAGTTTCGTTCTGCTCTCTTTGTAGTTTTGTTATAGGTAGCTTTTCTGAAGGGTTTTGCAGGGTCTGCACAGCTATTAATGTTTGGAAATTTGAATATTGTGAAACTGCAGGCTTATTCTACTGTTGGAACGCCAGACTATATTGCGCCTGAGGTTTTATTGAAGAAAGGATATGGAATGGAATGTGACTGGTAGGTATATCTAAAATGGGTTTTCTTATAATTAATGATTTTATTTCTTTTAAGAAATGCATTATGTTTTTCTGTTAATATCTTCTGTAGGTGGTCTCTTGGTGCCATCATGTATGAAATGCTTGTGGGATATCCACCCTTTTATTCTGATGAGCCAATGTCAACTTGTAGGAAGGTAACTTAGGATACTAGTTACCATGTTTTTGCATTTTGAGTATTTAATATAAAGCGTACCTTTAGGGAAATGGTTAAAAGTTTCTATACTGTCTCAGACCAATGATTTGTGAAAAAATGTAGCAAAGCATGCATTGCCATTGGCCTCAATGTGATTTTCAAAAGTTGCATTCAAGCTAAATCTGTTTGCTTATCAATATTTGATTTAGTTTTCTTCTGAACTTAAATTGGAATTTGTAATATTGATGATTTCAGACTCTGATATCTTGTCAAATTAGCATTTTTATGGTTCCATTAATGTCCTTATATTCTCTTTGTTTAGCTTGTATCTCTGTAGTATTCATTCCAGTGTCATCTTCATTATGATTAATAATCTAACATTGTCCTCACTTTTCCATCACACAGATAGTAAATTGGAGAACTCATTTAAAATTTCCAGAAGAGGCAAAACTATCTCCCGAAGCAAAAGATCTTATTAGTAAACTCTTGTGTAATGTTGACCAGAGGCTTGGTACAAAAGGCGCAGAAGAAATTAAGGTGTTGTGTGGTGTGTTCTGTTCTAAATTCTTTTAACAGCTCTTATAATAGAATTGCAGTTTGGCGAATTAACTGGCTTGCTTTATTATTTTCAGGCTCACCCATGGTTTAAAGGTATAGAGTGGGACAAATTATACCAAATGAAAGCTGCATTTATTCCCGAAGTCAATGATGAGCTGGATACTCAAAACTTTGAGAAGTTTGAAGAGGTAGCTGAAATTTCTATGTGAATGTATGTGTTGAGTAATTGTATAGATTGCTAATCTTTAAAAGTTTTTTCTCAAAATTGTCTAGGCTGACAACCAAATTCAATCTTCAACAAGATCAGGTCCATGGAGAAAGGTCAGTGCAGGATTTTTTTTATTTGTACGTCAAAAAGACTTGAGATTCACTAATCCTGGCCCTAGTCTCTTCCCAAATTTGCAAGAAAGATTCCTATCCTGATTATTGATTAGAAACAACAGAACTTGTGTAAATCACTGTCTGTTATTTTATTGCATCTATAGTAATGGTTTATCGGCAGAATTTTGGAAGAATTAGCATCTTCATTCTGCTTTGTCAGCATTAGTTCTTCAGAATTCAGAACTGAATTTCTATCATGTTCATTTTTCATTTACCTTTTTATTTGTATGTACAATATAACTTATGTATATATTGTCTATAGTGTCCAAGATGAATTTCCTACATAGAAATTCAGGGAGGTGGAGGAAGTTATCAGTCTCCCTTCATTTGTAATTGTTCTGGTCTTAACTTTTTTGAGTCTTATTATTTTTGTTTAAAGGAAAGTTAACTTCCTTGCATCTCAGTGTTCATATTTTCACTCTCTTGCAAATATGGTTGTTGGAAAAATAGAATCTCATATGTCAGCATTAATGTAGAAGTTATGTACATCTACATTTATTGCTGATGTAGTGTATTTTGAGGTCCATATGTTGATTGATGTTCTGTCCTTTGCTGCAGATGCTCTCATCCAAGGATATAAATTTTGTGGGCTACACATATAAGAACTTTGAAATTGTAAATGATCATCAATTACCTGGAATTGGTATGTTGATTCTTCTATTTTATATGTACAATGTATTAACTATTCTTAATGTTCTTATTTTTAACTTGTATTGTTTCTCCAAATACTTAATGCTGTTGTTTGTTCCCATTTTGTGCATAGCTCTTGTAATCAGGGTGGGGAAAGGGATAGCTACTGATTAAGTTCTGTCATTGTATTGTCCTGTCACTTTTACATAAAAGTTCTACCCTACAATTGCCATAGCTCTCATTTTCTTACTGTCCTCATTCAATTTTATTTAAAACCATAACTCTAGAGGGAGGTTGAGGGCAATAATTTGTCTTGGCCAAAACTGGGAATATTTGTATGGATTTTGAAATATGTAATATGTTGTTCCTTAATAGGGAATCTGAAATCTGATACATGTAATATCGTAAATAAATGTTGAAAATTTTCTTGAGTCATTTAATGGTCTAGTCTGCTAGATTGGTTATCTTATTAATTTGGATGATTAAAATTATGTTTTATATATCTTTTTATTCTAACATCTTGTATTTTTAAAGAATGCAATTTAGAGGTTTATCTTCTGTCCAATGTCTCATCTTGGTTATGATCTTTATATATAACCATTTTTCGTGTTCTCTGCACAGCTGAATTGAAGAAGAAGAACAATAAACCTAAGAGGCCCTCCATCAAGTCCCTTTTTGGTGAGGGCTACCTCTTTATTTCCTTTTGAACTACTAGTTTCATATTTTTAGTTGTAAATACTTGTTGAGTTTATGTTAAAATTTTAATATGTTGATGTCTTGGGATTGTGCGACTTGCAGAAAGGAAATGGGATAAAACTGAGAATGATATCATGATATAGACTTATCTGGGTGTATTCCCTCTTCATTTATCAATTTGATTTATATTTTACAGAAGATGAGTCGGCTACAGTAAATCAGCCTGTTCATGGGAGCTTTTTAAACCTTTTGCCTACACAAATAGAAGCTCCAGAGAAGGAGGGTAAATCTCACTGAGCTTCAGTGTCATGTTCCTCACATAAGATGGCTGTAAAAGCCCAAGAAAAGAGAGGATTTATGTTCTATGGTGAATAGCTTTTGTTTCGCCGCTCCCTGCATTTCATGTTTTTAAGAGTGGAAGTTTCCAGGGGCAAAGGCCCCAAAAACGAGTGGGTTTGAGGTACTAATTGGCTTTTGGGTAAGAAAGATGGAATTGTGATCTTTGTAAAATAGTAAATATTCTTTGATATTTGTTATGTATTTTTTCATTATTCTGTCAAGCTGCATGAAATTTGTGTACCATCTGCTGTATAGGTGTACAATTTCATTCATGTATTAAAAAATGAAAAAGAAGAGTTAAATCTCTTCCCACTCTTTTTTATTTAACTTCAAGGGCTAGATTTTGTTGGAATTTTTTGTTAGTTTTTGTCAACCTACAAGTCTATAACAATTATTATTTTTATTTTTTTCCAGTATATAGTTGAGAAATGATTTTTTTTTTTTCAGTCTTAATTCCGTAAGACTTTCAACAGTCACAAACTATACTTACAATTAATATCGAAGCTCAGTTCCAAAATTGCCAAAGTTGTCGAAATTACCTGCTTAAGCTAACACAAAAATCACTGTATTAAAAGCCGAACCGGATTGGCCGGTCCAGTTGGACCGTGAATCGGTTATATGTCTAGTTCGAGTCAATATAAAAATTGGTATTGCACAATAACCTGTTTTAACCCGTCAATGGACCGTGTGAACAGTGTTGGACCGCAAGAAAAACCGGCCCAACACTGAAAAGGGAAAAAAAGTCCCTAATTTCTCACTTTCTCCCATTGCGCAGTTTCTTCTTCCTCAGTTCCTCTACGCACAAAATACTTTGAAAAAATTTGAATGAAATCGTGAAAATCTGAAATCCCACACAAATCAAAACTCAATCTTGCTGAAATCGCAACCATTCGTTGTTGAAATCGATCGTAACTCCAGTCTTTGAAATCGTGAAGACGTGTTCCTCCCTCGCCAGAAATCGACGCATGAAGGCTGATTGGCATGCATGTCTTGACAATCCAATTTGATTCAAGGTGAGTTGCAAACAATAAATTTAGTGGACTCGAGAGGACTCGTATCAATACAACATGCTTCGTGGTGTCGATTTTGATGGACTCTTTGCTAGAATCAGTTAAAGCCGCATACGCGTCCTTCCGAGGTTCAATGGATGCTTCAAGCAGACCCTACGGAGAAATGGATTCTCCCAATAGAAATTACAGAGGTGCACAACCAACAGGATCCCCTAGTTTTTCATGGCAAAGGCGCAGATAAAATTTAGTGTGTAAATTGTAAACCAACAATTTTTGTCAACATGATTTTCCCAATCCCGTGTGTATCCTGAAGTGTTGTATTTTAATTGTTCATACATTTTATTGAATGAAATCATTATTCTTTCTATTGTAAATCCCACCTTACGTGTATATTTGATTTGGAATGTTGTGCCTGCCATATTTTGGTTATATTCACTGACATTGATTCAGAAATTTCATCATCAAATTATAATTTGATTACCTTTATGTTCAGTGGCTTCTGGTCTGGGAGTTATATTATTACTTATTATGTATTTTGTCATTTAATATGTAAATACAACATCATGTTTGGATTTAGATTTTGGATTGTTGTTAAACACTTAAATTATGTTGGGATTGTTGTTTAGTTTGAACTTTGAATCATGTTGGATAGTAATTAAGTTGTTATTGTCTTAGTAAAAAATAGAAATCTAAAAAAAAAAAAAAAAGGTTTTTTTAAAAATGTGTTGACGTCATCATGATGTGTGATGACATCACCGGTCCAACCGGTTGGATCGGTTGAACCGTGACCCGGGCAGCAAAGCGGGTTGCCCTCCGGTCTGACTTTTAAAACAATGACAAAAATTTGAACTTTCAGACCAGAGCCATCAAGTGTCTACATTCTTTGCATATTCAACCATCACGGCTTTGGAGATTTGAGCAAAAAATTATCTTGTAGTTGAGATCAATGGTTTAATAACCAACCTGGGGTGAAACCCGGCAAAGTTATCAGGTCCTGGGTTGACATGTTTAACCGGTTTGACCAACGAGTTGGTCAAATTGGGTGACAAAAATTTTAAAATTCAGCAAATACATTCCTAAAAATTATAGTTAAATATCTAGAGGTTTGAAATTTAGCACACACTCCAAATACAAATTGGTGGTTGACTGGTTGGTGGCGACGACACTTTAAATGCAATCTCAATCATCCATTGGTTCGATTACAATCAAATCTCACATACGTCAGTGTCGACAACTCTCCCCATCATCTCGAAAATGCTTTCCTCTACCTCTCGACCAAAACCCACCTCACCCTACCCTCGTTAGCCTTGCCAATTGCTAGCAAAAGTCGGCTGTTGCCGTCGCTTTTTTTCGATTTTCGGTCGATTTACTCATTAGAAATCAACTTCGTCGCCATTATTGCACTCACTGACACTTTCTTTTCAAAAGCCCCAACATCTCGGCCTTCAATTGTTCGAGTCTATGTTGAATCAACTGGGTCGGGTCGGGTTTTAAATCAGTGGTTGAGATAACATGATCTTAAGAGCTCGCTAAGATTTGTAATTTCCTACAAATTAATATAATGCTGATGATGCATCTCACGAAAATTGAAGGCTTGTTGCTTATAATTATGCTTCATTTGTCCTTAAAGTAGTACCACTGGATATATTCAAGGATATAGGCAGTCATTAAACTGGCATCATCGGATAAATCATTCATAGATTTATTTTACTAGTATCATCGATAAATCATCTATTTGGTGATGTAGACAGTATTATTGATGTTGCTAAAGACATGATTATTTTGACTAGTTATTTAATTTTTATTTTAAAAAGTTATTATTAATATGTTTTAAAAAATTAAGAAAAAATTATTAATTATTTAATCATTTTATACGAAGTTTATTCTTCTAAAGTGAAAGTAATTTTTAAAATTTAATTAATTCAGAAACTTGACTCATAATTATTAATTATTAATATGCTGAATTTAGCTCGAGAATTTCCCTGTGCCTTTTTTATTGGCGAGGTCGGTCACTCGGGTAATTCGTGACATGAGTCACATGCTAAAACGAGTTGGACTCCTATCTATCTCCGTTACCAAACATCATCTAATTGGAATTTTTATCATTTATTTGACATCAAATCTACCTTGGCCACCGATTAAACCCTCTTTCTTCTCCTCGTTATTTTCCGATACAACAAAGATGCAGGTAATCTTCCATTTACGAATCTGTTGTTTCAAAGTTTCTTTTCAAAAAACACTGAACATTGAGAAGCTTTCTTGTTTATAATTGTGCAGGCCAGTGATAGGTTTAACATAAACTCCCAGCTCGAGCATCTGCAGGCCAAATACGTTGGCACTGGCCACGCTGATTTGAACAGATTGTGAGCTTCTTTCCATTCTTTCTAACATCTATGTGTATTATTTTAGGGCTTTTTTTTTTTTTTTGGTGATCGGTTTTGTTTTGAATTGTGTAGTGAATGGGCGGTGAATATCCAGCGTGATAGCTATGCGTCTTATGTTGGGCATTACCCCATTTTGGCTTACTTTGCCATTGCGGAGAATGAATCCATTGGAAGAGAACGCTACAACTTTATGCAGGTTTTATTTCTTTTCTTAATTTATTCATTGATTTCTTTGTTCTTTGTTGGGTTTTGTGAGAATTTATTTATGCATGGTTTAAATTTAGGTTTATGTTTGAACATGTAGTTTGTGTTACATTATATGGGTGTTGTGGTTGGACATTCTTGTGCACAGTGCAGGTTACCTAGAACTCTCAAATGATTATCAAGGAGCAAAACTGTTCATCTGGTTATGTGAAGATAGATACATTATATGGGTGTTGTGGTTGCATGATTTTTTTCCCCTTCAAATATCCTTTCTTCTCCGCATGGATAGAGTCATCTCAAGCTTACTTCCCTTTTTTTTCAAATCGGAGAATATTATTCCGAGGTTCATGGAGGTGGTTGACATCTCTGCATGCTTATGAAGTCATGCTTTTTTATTGGTATTTAATGCTATTGATGCCATTGACCATAGAAATGGTGTTTTCTTTATACACTAACATGAAACCATCAACAAGAAATAATTGAAAACAAACGATGGGAAATGACCTAGATTGTTTTGTTGGTGAGGACCAATTTGCATCATTAAGAAGAAGCTGCATGGCTCTGGTTATTTTATTGGAATTTATGTAGTTCAAGTTGAGGTGCTGTAAAAATAAAAGTAGAACCAAAGAGCAAAAGACTATTGAATATTAACAAATGTTGGGTGAGGTATGAGTTGACAGCCTTGGCCTTCTATAAAGCACAGCGGTGGTTAAGAGTGAGTTGATTTAGTTGCAACATATGGCTAGAATATGAGTTTTTTTGTTTGAATTAAGTCTCTTTAAATTGGCACTTATAAGTACACCATTTAGTTGCAACTCTTGGCTTAACTCAATTTAATAAATTCTTAATTCCAATTATTTGAGTTGGCTAATTGAATTTCTTTTCTTATTCCGTCATGTAAGGCCATATTCTGTTAAAGGATAACAACTCATCATATTTTTTATTGTCATTCCATACTTCTTGGGAATTGTCTTGTCTTCGACTTGCATTATGATTTTGTTGCTTATTGATTACTTTTGTGCTCATTGGCTGTAGTTACAATATGTTTTAACTTGTGTTAAAAATTTTTTTACAACCTAATGGAGTTAATAATCTAAGTTCATTTACATTGATTGCGGGAACTATCTTCTTGACATGTTAATTCGCTTCTTAGTTGATAGTTAGAGGCTATAGATTATTTCTTAGGGAGTGAGTGAGAGTTGAGTTTTGCTTTTGATTGGGAGGACAAACAATATAATTCCTGGAAGAAAGGCAACAATTTATGTTGCCATATCAGGTCTCCAACAATTGTTCATAATGTTCTGTGTCTAATTCAAGCTCAAGTCGGGTAAGAAAATTTGCCAGGTTCATTACGCCCAAAGTGTCAAATACTTTCTCCTGCCATTTCTTAAAATTGACACCGTTAAAGGTCTCAATTTTTGGAAATTTCTCATTAAGGTTTGATGGTGTTCAATGCAACTTCCACTGTAGTTGAGGGCTCGGTCTTTAGAATGTTGTGTAAGTTAAAGACAATCAATAATTCTATCAATAATAAATTAAGCCTAATGACAGAAATCAATCATGATTATCAATATCCCAAAAGATCAACATATGGATCATAGAATACTGAATTAAGAGTATAAAATCTAAGACAGACCGGACAAATACATAGTTCAATGAGATATTCTAATGGGCTTATGTGATTATTCCAGAATTTGTCCAATACACTTCATTTTGAATAAATTGGGTTTGACGACTAGTGTGGGCTTGAGGCTATAATGAGTTTCAGGGTTTATTAGACCTTTAATGGGCAGGTCCAATAGGCTAATATATAAATTGGTTAAGTCCCATTTCCCAACGCAATTTGAACAACTTAACCCATTTGTTAGTCGTCATTAAGCGTGCGTTATTGGAAAGGAAGACCTACACTTTTTGTGACATGAAAAACTGTCGTATCTTCTATAAGGAATCCAAGAATCAGAAACTATAAATAAATCAGGTTTGTCTTAGACTCTATACTCTTAATTTAGTATTCTATAATTCATATGTTGATCTTTTGGGATATTGGAAATCATGATTAATTTCTATCATTTGGTTTGATTTATTATTGATAGCATTTTATGTAAGTTAAAAACAATCAATAATTCTATCAATAATAAATCAAATCAAATGACAATCAATCATGATTACCAATATTTGAAAAGATCAACATATGGATTGTAGAATACTGAATTAAGAGTATAGAGGCTAAGTCAAACCTGATTTATTTATGGTTTCTAATTCTTGGATTCCTTATGGAAGATGCAGCAGTTTTTCATATGTTACAGAAAGTGTAGGTCTTCCTTTCTAATAATGCATGCTTAATGACAACTAACAAATGGGTTAAATTGTTCAAATTGCGTTTGAAAAGGGGGACCTAGCCAATTTATATATTAGTGTATTAGGCCGGCCTATTAAAGGCCTAATAAACTCTGAAACCCATTACAGTCTCAAGCCCACACTAGTCGTCAAACCCAGATTATTCAAAATGAAGTGTATTGGACAAATTCTGGAATAATCACATAAGCCCATTAGGATATCTCATTGAACACATAAAAATTTGAGAGGGCTAAGCACATGATTAGTGAAGGAGGGGGGTATTTATAGCAATCACCCCCTCTCCCTCATTTAAACTCCCCCACCGTCTCAAATTTCAAGGCGGTGGATGTCCACTTTTTTACAATGTTCGCTCTTGGACATTCACTAAGGCCTTACTGACATCAACATTTCAAAAGTTAGTGTATGACAATGGCATGCTGTGGCTTAATAAGTTACTAAATTGATTTTACCATTATGAGAAGGTGCATCGATTAGGGGGAGTTTTTAGAAAGGTTTATTGTACTGGGCATATGTGCACTGTACTCTTTTTTCTTTGACCAGGTTTTGTCCTATTGGGGAGAAGGTTTTTAATGAGGCAGTATGAAACACATTTGACTTCACTTTACAGTTTCATTATAGAGTTGTATTTTTTTATTTAGGTTTTTGTCCCAGCGGGTTTTTCTTGAATAAGGTTAAGTACAATTATTTGTAAATAACAGATATCCAAGGGGAAGTGTTGTAAAACAGTGGACATCTACCGCTTTGAAATTTGAGACCGTGGAAGGAGTGTAAATGGGGGAGAGAGGTGATGGCCATAAATACCCCCCTTCCTTTCACTCTATAACACACAAAAATTTGAGAGGTCTAAGCAATATCAATTGAGTATCATATATCTCAATTATCTCACTCTGATTCTTGTTATTTTACTTTGTTTACTTTATCTTTTTCTTGAGTTAGTTATTAAATAGCACTACTAAAATTACAACAAACTCTCAAGCACATGAGCCCTTACAACCTAAACCTAATTGCAGAAGTTGATCTGAAAACCATTTAACGGAGTGTGTGCATGCAATTACTCACGCGCAAGGGGTGCATATCCACTTGATTGTACGTTGGGGCTTGGCCCTTGTTTGGCTCACTATCATTTTATTTTTTGGACCAAAAAATTAAGTCATTGAATTAAATTTTTAAAATTAAATTTCAAGACCAAGCGATAAATGTGCATGAGCGAGTTTTGAGTTCAGATAACTTGGTGATTAATTCAACATATGGTTAAAATTCTGAATGTTGTTGATCGAATTTTGTCAGAAGCAATTTTTCCCATTGCCTATAAATTTAGTAGAGATGGGTGACAATTTTTTGTTGAGAAAATATGGAAAATGCACATATGCTCGAACCCTTTACCCTTTGTTGAATATTAATTAACTAGATTATGTAGAACTGCTCTAGTTTCCCTTCTTTGTTTATTTTCTTAAGCCAGAGATAAAATTATATTACTTTGTTTGTTGTTCTTCATTCCGTTTGAGAGTGCACTCAACCAGAAAATATCGTTCAAGCCTAGAGGTCAAACTACCGTCAATATTTGCACCAATGTCATTCCTACAGGGGCAGAATCAGTCTTAAGGACAATGCATCCTCTATATGTCTTAGCATTTTTACATTTACTGTTCCTGTGCTTTTAATACCATTTTTTTGTTTTCTAATTCATTCTCTTCATTATACACAAAGCTAAGGGTTGGTTGGAGTCTTACAATTGCACAATGTTTCCACTTTTTAACTAATTCGGTCTCTTGCAGAGTTTTAGTTTATTACTAATTTGTCTCTTTTATTTAGTTTCCTATTTTGGTTCTAAAATTTATTTGTAAAGGGTTGGGTGTAATAATCGGGTTTAAGGGTTTTTCTGCTTCATTTTCCTTTCATTCAACAAAAGGCTTAATATGACAAATGATATCCCCAACTTATCATTCCTTCATAGTCGCCAATGTTTGATGAATTTGATAGTTGGCTTTGCATGATCTGCAAGTTAGCAAAATCTGATTCAATATAATTGGTGGGTTATTGTTGGATGCATATTTATGGGGCAAGATCAATGGTATCACATTTTTTTGACCATTTGATTAATTCACTTTCAGTAGATTAGATCATGTCTAACATGCATAGTTAGTTTATCTTAGAATGACACGTCAGATTTAGTGGCAACTCAAAATGTTCTGCTGTAATGGTTTCTCAATATAATTTTTATGTAAAAATTGAAGGTCATTGATTTATCCCATGTATAAAAATCTGTGATGGGTGGACACCTGTTACTCGTCTTATGATACAAACATTTTCACATGACACAGTCATATACTACTTCTAGCAAAGCTTGTTAGCAATTATAGTGCAAAATTATGTGGTAGCATAGCTCCCTATAAGACGAGCCAATTTCACCTTATATATGTGTGAGTATAAGCATGATGTTTATAATTCTTCTGTATTTAACTACAATTTTTTCTGAGTGTCCAAGTATGCACTATTAGGTAGATGAAATCGTCCACCATATGAAATTTTAATTCTCTTTTTTGCTTGCAAAGCAGCTCTTGTCTGTGAGTGAAAAGGACTTTTCTTTTCAAAAGGGTAATGAATAGTTTAAAGAATTAGAGAGAAGAGAAATGAAAGTTTATCGTTGGTGTGAGTAAATAAAGAGAGAGTTTAATGGAGAAAGGAAAGAGAATACAAGAGAATGTTAAATACTTACTAATTACTTGCATGATGCCATCTGAGGTATGTTAATATATTTAGAAAACAAAATGTCCACATCAGCAAAATGTTTGACCATTGAATGGGGTTTCATAAATGACATTCAATCAGAATCCTATATTTGTGAAGAATGAAAAATAAATGGTTAACTTTTAAAACAACTAAAGCAAAAAGGTAGCTTGATTTGTTGGATGGCATAGTTGTGATTTTGTCAATAGATGATAAGTTCTTGAAATTACGTCCCATGCTTGCAGGCCACGTCGACATTCGTATGTAACATGCATTGTGCTCTTGTCCACTGAAGACTTTTTCTGAGTTCTTATTTAGATGCTAATATGTAATTAAAAGGATAAAAGTGTGTTTTTATTTTGAAGAGAGTCAACGAGGTAGCAACTCTGTTAATATGTTGTATTGATGACTCTCATTAGCACTCCTCTTAATCCAAAGATGCAGAATGTTGGTGAGTAGCAACATTTTGATTTTAGTGACTGGATTAAATAGAATGAATGGATAGAAATTTTTTTGAACTTTTCAAGCTTTTAAGTTCACAAGCCTTCATGTATGTAGCTATTTTTCATTTCATTTCCTGGATATAAATCTTATCTTATTGATGTAAATCACTCATTCATCGTGATCTTTATGTGCAGAAAATGCTGCTGCCTTGCGGTCTGCCCCCTGAAAGAGAAGATGATTGAAACATGCTTTTAAGAAGGTTTTGGGTTTATGTGTAGGGCTCCCAGTTGTAATATCTCTATGTATGTTGGGGTTCTTGTGACAATGAAGAACACTTGTTGGTGAAGCAACTGCTGAGTCTTGGAATTGTATTACTTATATGTAGTTTATTCGTATATTTTTGATGTTCTACTTCTACATTTTCTTTTACGTCCTGAACTTGATGTTTTTCACTTCAGTTGAGTATGGTCTAATATATTACTTTCTCTCTCTGTGTATTTATAATTTTTGATCTAGTTGCATAACAGGGATGTAAAACTCATGGTCATAACGAGGCTATGGCTTTGACATGTGATCAACGTTTTAATAACCAACTTGGGGTGAAACCTTGCGAAGTTGTCAAGTCTTGGGTTGATCGGTTGGTCAAACCGGGTGTCAAAAATTTTAAAATTTAACAAATACACCCTTAAAAATTATAATTAAGTCCTTATAGTTATAGGTTTGAAATTTAGCAAATATATCTCAAATACAAATTACAAATCGATTTTCATTGGTTGATGGTGATGACTTACTAAATGCAATTCCAATCATTCATTGAGCTCATTTCTCATAAAATATATCCAAGATTTGACTGATTTGGCTAGATCTTATTGACGCAGATGTCGACATTTCATGTCAGATTTCACCACTATTGGTACTCACCGACACTTTCCCTTGAAAAGCTCCAACATCTCGATCTTTAATTGTTCATAGATCATTATTTTATTTTTTAGGATTTTCGGTGAATAGAAAATGGGTAACTCGACCTGGTGAAAGCCTCAGGTCTCAGTTCAACTGACAGGGTTGAATTTAAAACACCGCATGTGATAATCAGGGTGTGGTTCAACATTGAGTTTTGATGTGTCAATCTAAGTCATTTATTAATATATGGATTTAAAAATTTTCAAAATTATAAATCTCAATATAAAACTTTTTGTTTCTTTAATCGTTACAGAAATTGTTGATATAGGAACTATTTATTATTAATATAATTAAATTCAGTTTATCAAAGTCTATTCATAATCATATCCTCGTATTAACATAGTTCTATACGACCCATCAACCCGTTTTACCATCCCTAAGTTCGATTTTTAGCATTTTTCAGACTTAAATTTTGAGCGGAGATGTGAATTATCCGGTTCAGACCCGGGCAACCTGAAACTAGGTGAAACTTAAAACACAGACCGGACTGTATATTTTTTCAGAGTGCGGGAAAATGGTTTCCTCTCTGGTTTTCAGTTGATAGTGCAATGAATCTGACTTCGGTTGTTCAGGGTTTTATTTCAGCGGAAAATGTTATTCTTTTCAAGTAGTTATTTTTAATGAATGGATGGAATTCATATTGGAGCTTGCGTCATAATGTATGTCCTTAATAAAAGTTTTCTTTCTGCTCTGCTTTTTTTGTTTGCACAACTTTGAATTCTTAATTCAAGTTTTCGTTTACCTTCTTTTAATGTATTCAATTATCTGTTATGATATAAACAAAGTTTTAAGTATAATTTGTTTTGCCTATCTTTATTTGTTTTCCTTTTTCTTTTTTCAGGAGAATGATATCTGGTTTTGATTACAGCACCAAAACGTGATGGCCATGACCAATCATCAAAACCTGATTGCTGATTCTGCAACAAATGACACCCACGAAAATCCTCATAAACCTCCTCAATAACCCTACCAGAATAACATCCAAATCCCAGGCCAAACAACTCCATGCCCAAATCTTCAAAACCATAGACCCCAACTCTCCCTCTCACGTCTCCAAACTTCTCTCTATCTATACCAACCTTAACCTCTTACATGGCTCTCTTGATCTCTTTAACACTCTCCATTCACCACCCCCACCACTTGCCTGGAAATCTATCATTAGATGCTACACTGATAATGGCCTTTTTGTTCGGTCCTTGCTATATTTTGTTAAAATGATGGACTCTGGCGTGTACCCAGATCATAATGTGTTCCCCTCTGTGTTAAAGTCATGCACTTTATTGGTGGACTTTAGGTTTGGTGAATCTGTCCACGCCTGCATTATTAGGCTTGGTGTAGATATTGATTTGTACACTAATAATGCTCTCATGAATATGTACGCAAAATTTCAAAGTTTGGGTTTAGGAGTCAGTAGCGGAGGCAAATTTTACGAGCATAAAGTGCTTGATAAAATGCCTCAACGAAATGGGAATCGTGAATTAAGTCGTGGTTTAGTTAGCTGTACTGAGTTTAACTATAGGACTGTGGATTTGAGGCACAAATTTGAGAAACAGGTTGTGGATATTGGTCCCAATGTTAGTTTAGATGGAATAGGTGATGACTTATCTTCTAATTATGGAAGTGGGCAAGTTGATGATCACTCTTGTGGAAGAATGTATAATGGAATAAAGCCTTTGCAAATGGATAGCGTGAGGAAGGTATTTGAAACAATGCCAATCAGGGATCTTGTTTCATGGAATACAATGATTGTGGGACTTGCTCGAAATGGGTTATATGAAGAATCTTTGAAGATGGTTAGGGAAATGGGGAATTCTAACTTAAAGCCTGATTCATTCACTTTGTCGAGTGTCCTTCCAGTATTTGCAGAGTATGTTGACGTTGTTAAGGGAAAGGAGATTCATGGTTATTCTATTAGGCATGGATTAGATATGGATGTGTACATTGGAAGTAGCTTGATTGACATGTATGCAAAGTGTACACGAGTGTAGGATTCACGTCGAGTATTTTATCTCTTACCTCAGAGAGATGGGATTTCATGGAACTCAATTATCGCAGGATGTGTGCAGAATGGTTTTTTTGATGAAGGAATCAAACTCTTTCGACAGATGTTAATGGCTAAAATAAAACCAAAGCATATTTCCTTTTCTAGTATCATTCCAGCTTGTGCCCATTTGACAACACTTCATTTGGGGAAGCAACTCCATGGATACATAATGAGGAATGGATTTGATGATAATGTGTTTATAGCCAGCTCACTTGTGGATATGTATGCCAAATGTGGGAATATTAGTTTAGCAAGATTTATATTTGATAGAATGGAGCTCCATGACATGGTATCATGGACATCCATTATAATGGGATATGCTTTGCATGGGCATGCCCATGATGCCATTTCCTTGTTTGGACAGATGGAAAAGGAGGGAGTGAAGCCAAACTCTGTGGCATTTGTGGCTGTATTAACCGCTTGTAGTCATGCTGGTTTAATAGACACAGCTTGGAGTTATTTCAACATTATGACCCAGAATTATGGTATTGCTCCAGATTTGGAACACTATGCTGCAATGGCAGATCTTCTTGGTCGTGCAGGCAAGTTGGAAGAAGCATATGAATTCATATCTAGCATGCGTGTAGGACCTACTGGGAGTGTTTGGTCAACGTTATTGTCTGCTTGTAGAGTCCACAAGAATGTTGAGTTAGCTGAGAAGATTGCTAATAAAATATTTATGATTGATCCCAACAACATGGGAGCTTATGTTCTCTTGGCAAACATCTATTCTGCTGCTCAAAGATATAAAAGTGCAGCTAGGATGAGAATCTCTATAAGAAAAAAGGGCATGAAAAAGACGCCAGCTTGCAGCTGGATTGAAGTAAAAAACAAGGTACATGCTTTTGCCGCAGGCGATGAATCCCATCCATTGTATGACAAAATAAATGAGACTCTTAAAGATCTTTTGGACCGGATGGAACGAGAAGGGTATGTTCCTGACACCAAAGAGGTGCTTCATGATGTTGAAGAGGAGCAAAAGAAATACTTGCTATCTTATCATAGTGAGAGACTTGCCATAGCTTTTGGCATCATTAGCACTCCTGCTGGGACAACGATTCGAGTAATAAAGAACCTTCGAGTCTGTGGGGACTGCCACACTGCAACAAAGTTCATATCAAAGATTGTTCAAAGAGAGATAATTGTGAGGGACAATAACAGATTTCATCATTTTAAAGATGGGAAGTGTTCATGTGGAGATTACTGGTAACAGGTCAAATCCAGATTTTATTATTCTTAATAGTTCTTTTGCTATAATCTATACATCAATCTGTTCTGAGCATCCTATTTTAGAGAAGGTTTCAGTGACAACACATTCAAAGAATTTCTAGTTGAACTCTCGGTAAGGAAACTGCAAATGGAGATTATCTATATCCACAACTGTATATATTTTTCAAGGGCATTTATTAATGTTAAACTAACACATTGGAGGGAAACAACAAAAAAATTGCATTATGTATCATGATGTTTAGATCATATATTTATAACATTTTTTGTTGGGGATAATATTTATAGTTTATATGAATTCTCTAAGCATCTGGATAAATACTAGTTTCGTGTTATTGATAAAGTAAGCATTGGTGATGGTCCATGTAAGACCTTCCCCAAGCCCACTGAAGCTTTGCCTTGAACAAAATAAAGGATATAAGAGTTGGCTATCGTATAGGAGTAAGGAGTTGATATTAAAGACCTTAACTGTATGTGCACAAAGCACTAAAATTGAAGTTTATATTAATATGTGATTATTATTGACTCAAATAATACAGTGAATTATTGAATTAACTAGTTGCTTCTCTCTCTCTCTCTATATATATATATTACTTGAATAATGGATCATATTGTAGAATGATATTTTCGTTACATATAAGATAATTTTCATAATATTATTTCACATCAACGTCAAATATTATATTGCAATAACTTCATGGAGACAAGTACTGTAGCAACTTCCTTGCATAATATAAAATTTTAGTTGTTAATACAAGATATCATATTTGTTTTTATTAAGATTAAAAATGGACTGCATTGAGTTTTGATAGGCCAGGACTTTGCATGGATGAGGAAGACGTTGCATGCACGTAGAAGAAGTTGTGATCAGTTAGAAAGTTTCAAGCCGCACGTTTATCTTTTTGCTGCATGTTATTTTCGTTATGCTCTGTTTTTAAGTGTATTTGCATGCTCTATTTTACGTGTGTTTGAGTCCAGTTGTTAGCTTCTAGTTTTCCTTTTGTTTCGCTTTGCTTGTACGTGGGTTATTAAGTGGTTTTGCTATTTAAGTAGCCACGAGTTGGTAATGAATTAGCAAGCAAAACATTATCTCAGTTGTTGTGGTACTTTCTCACCCGAAGAGGAAACTAATTTTTGGTAAGTTCTCACTCGAAGAGAACACAAGTTATCTTAGCATTTATACAGGCTGCGTTTGGGACTTATCATTGGTATCAGAGCAGGTTGTTATGGAAACCAATAAAGAGCGTATTGAACAATTAGAGGTCGGGCTCGGTGAAGTGCAAGATGGGCTACACCGGATGGAGCTCGGCATGGCAGATAGGCTGCGGCATTTGGAAGAAACTCTTAACCGTCTCTCTGATGTACTGCTTGCAAACCAGGAGCCTCCAAACCATGGCAACCAACACCATGAAGGCCACGATGGGGGATGGCTTGTTGTCTCCTCCAAGACAGCGAAGCTTGAATTTCCTAGATTCTCAGGAGATGATCCGATGGAGTGGTTCAATCGTGTGAACCAATTCTTTGAAATCCAGAATACTCCCGAAGCACATAAAGTATCTTTGGCCTCCTACCACTTGGAATGAGAGGTCAACCAATGGTGGCAATGGATCCGTAGGTCATTCCAAGAGGAAGGACGTGCTCTTTCGTGGGCAAATTTTGAAGACGAACTTTGGGCTCACTTTGGGCCTTCGGAGTGCGAAGATTTTGATGAAGCTCTTTCGAGAATCATGCAGATAGGCTCTCTACGTGATTACCAACGAGAATTTGAATGCTTGGGCAATCGGGTACGAGGATGGACTCAAAAGGCTCTGGTTAGGACTTGGGACATTCATGGGCGGCTTGAACGCTAAAATTGTCGATGGGATTAGAATGTTTAAACCGCAATCCCTCAAGGATGCCATTAACTTGGCACGGATGAGAGACGATCAACTCACACGGTAGCGGGAGTTCTTACAACCACCCCTACCTGCACGAGCTCTTCTAGCTCTTCCACCAGCAGCTCGTGTAGCTCCTGCAGCACTTGCTGATCCGATCAGGCGATTATCATGGGAGGAAATACAGAGGAAGAGAGCCCAAGGTCTCTGTTTCAACTGCAATGAACGTTTTACAACAGGCCACAGATGTCAAAAACCACAACTATTACTCTTGGAGGGGCATGCAGGTAACGTAATATGTGAGGAAATCACTGATCAACGGACATTGGCGGCTGACCAAGGTGGAGGTGAAGTAGGATAAATTTTAGTGTAATGGAATGGAAATATCTTCTAGCCCAGGAGGCAACATGGGAGCCAAAAAAAAAAAAAAAAAAAAAAAGCTATGGGAGATGTTTCCGAAGATGGACCTTGAGGACAAGGATCCACTTGATGGGGGAGGTATTGATAGGCCACGACTTTGCATGGATGAGGAAGACGTTGCATGCACTAGAAAAAGTTGTGATTAGTTAGAGAGTTTCAAGCCGCACGTTTATCTTTCTGCTGCATGTTATTTCCGTTATACTCTGTTTTTAAGTGTATTTGCATGCTCTGTTTTACGTGTGTTTGAGTCCAATTGTTAGCTTCTAGTTTTCTTTTTGTTTCGGTTTGCTTGTACGTGGGTTGTTAAGTGGTTTTGTTATTTAAGCAGCCACGAGTTGGTAATGAATTAGCAAGCAAAACATTATCTGAGTTGTTGTGGTACTTTCTCACCCGAAGAGGAAACTAATTTGTGGTAAGTTCTCACCCGAAGCGAGCACAAGTTATCTTAGCATTTATACACACTACGTTTGGGACCTATCAAGTTTCGGTCTCAGACCTAATATTGATCAACTCCAATAAATCATGCAACTTATGAATACCCATATAATCTTTTCCTTTAATTTATATATAATTACTATTATGTCCCTAAAAACAATAAGACTAACTCTAAAAAAAATGAGAGTTAGGATTGTATTTCCAAATCAGTCAATAACTATTGTAATTTTGTAAAACATATACTAAATTTAGTAAAATATAACTGTAAATTAAGAATATGATGTATTTTTTATGGTATCTACTCTTGTTGTAAGTTGGTTATTTAAAAATTTTCATCTTTATGCAAAGCTCCTTGCTCTTAATAATTTTATGGTACATTAAGAAAAGGAATGAAATAAGAGATGGTACAAATTATGTATGCCACCCATGTGGGCCAAAATGAAATCAATAATTTATTGGGTTGTTCATTTAGGCCATATCTTAAACAAATGTAGACCCACCCGAAAGCCTAAAAAAAAAAAACAGGGAAACAAAATGGGTCTATTTAAATCTAATCTCGACCACACAACACATGTACGTTAATAAACAATGATTAAGTCAATTCCATTACCAACTATTTATCTGCTTCCAAACTAATGAAACCTCCACCTACTCCCCTCTACTTTCACTGGCAAATTTTCACCCACTTCCTTTTTTAACTATTATGCCTTTGCCTATTCAGCCACTCAATATCTAATGGAAAAATATAATTACTTTAAACCCTCTAAGGTTTATCCAAATACAGAAAGACCCTCTCAGATACTAGTAATGATTCAAAACCCTCTAACATGTGATGGACGTTAAAGTTGTCAGAGATGAGGTAAAATGCATTGTTTTAAAACCCAACTCGGTGACATCATCATGCTGATGTCATATGTAAGTATGACTAATAACTGTAATCATTGATACGTATGGAGTTTTGATTCAATATATCGTTGCTTTAATACATCAACATAAAACTTGTAAAATTGTAAAGCGAAACTTGTAAACGTGTAAACTGCAACTCATACAGTGTTGTATTATAGCTAAAGCCATATGAAAGAGTAATAACGTTGAGAAAATATAGGGCATGCATTGAAGCCAAACTTTAGTGTATTCAAAGTGAAATTAGGAAATTATCTATCATCTAAAGACACAGCCATGGGCTTCTTATGTTAGCAGAACATTAAATGAAATAAGACTTGATCAACTCTGGCAGGCAGCTTCAGCTTCTCGCAGTTCTTCCAGCTGCGTACCAAAATTTAGCTTTGAATTGATGCAACTACATAATGAAATATATGATGTTTTAACTGTCCAATTAATAAATATCTTGACAAAAAAATTGAGTTGTTGTGAAGATTTTAATTGAGTGCTAACTGACAAGTTGTAAAACCACAGGGAACCTGCACTTCCCATACAAGAGAAACTGAAACAGCAAACAACTCCCACCAAAGATCCAAAAACAAACCCACCAGCAAGGATTACACAACCTCAGATGCAAACCTACAATAGTTCTTAAGTATGGCTCGAGAGGCAAGATTTGGGCGAGTCAAAAAGAGTCCCAGGTGAATTAAAACGCATTTTAGGGTTTACGCACCTGTGGAGATGAAAATGGAAGATTTAGAGAATTAAAAGAAGATGAAGAATCTAACCTGCACAATCAGTGATGATGATGAAGAAGATGAACAGAATCTCCAGAGTTTCGATTACCGTTGTTGAAGTTGAAGTTAAAGAAGATGAAGAAGATTTGATTTCGATAATGGAACGTGCTTGCAACTGCTGGCTCGACTGATATTGGAGATGCTTGCCACTGTGCAACTTAAAAATGGAAGATGCTTGCTTGCCGAACCGGTCGGACCGGCCGGTCTGATCCGGGTTCTAAAACAATGGTAAAATGGTCATAATATAGGCCTAAGTTTGTTTGTTTGTTTTTTTTTTTTTTTAAGATTTGGGCAAATCTATAGGGTTTAAAGTAATTATCCCTTTGTTATAAGCATATATTTAAGGCCAAGGGGTAAAAATAGTATTTAACCTTGCAACTGCGAGGATTAACATTTTTGTTAACATATGATAGACGACAAAGGGTTTTACATCATTATTAATACCTAAAGGGGTTTGTAATATTTAGGAAAATATTTGAGGGTTTAAATTAATTATCCTTCTAATGAAACTAAAACTTTCTATCATTTTAACTTTTATTAGAGAACGATTAATTGCAATGAACTTTACTCTGTCTAATTATTTAGTCAACTCATGGTTGACTAATGGTCGAGAGGGCATGATTGATATTTCTAATGTATTAGAGAGAGTGGGTTTGTCAAAAATAGTGTAAATTTATAAAGAAAGGAAAGGTACATGTAAATGTGTGAAAAAGCTGTGTCTCACTAACCTGCACACACATCTCAATAAGTTAAGAAAGTTAAGTTTGTTTAATTTAAGGTTAATATAATTAACATCTATTGGATACCTCTTGTATAATTTA